GTTTCAAAGTCATAATTGAAGGTTTTGATCATATAAAAAAATAGGAAAAAAAAATGAAACGAATTGTACAATGGTTATATTTACCTTAAAATGCGTATGACACTCATCTACAACTGATCAAGGTAGAAATATTACAATGTTTAAAGTAGAAAGTCAACAAAACAATAAACTAGCCATCAAATAAACGTGTATATGTTGTTTATTTGTTGAGTGCTAGCGCGACGTAACGCTATAGCAGGTACAATTCAACAAGGCGCATGTTAATAGCAAAGTCATTGTATTTTGCTTCAAAGACCAGTTTAAATGGTTTGAGTTGTTTTCAGGATCCAGTGACACTGACCTAAAGTAGATGTGGCGGATAGAAATCATTTTTAAAGTTCCTCCGAAAAACTTTATAATATAAGTATTAAAGTCAATGGCCATAAATTAAACTTAACAAACTTTATCAAAAATGTTACCAACTTTACATTTTTTCTTTTAAATCATTCTACGAAACCTTTTTTATAAACGAAGGATGCAAATGTCGTTGTTGGCTGACAAATAGAAGAACCGACGATTTAGCAAGTACTTAAAGTTACTTCCCCAAAGGTTTCTGCCATTTTTTGTAAGCAACATAAAACATTTAACTTTAGCCTGGTGCTTACAGCTACCATCCATGTACAGGTTTAATTTAACTGAACCTTCAATATGTAATCATTTTTGCTGTTTTTTATGCTGGATATTTTGGATGGAAAAGAGAACCTCAGCTTTTCATATTAAATGTTTTGATTTTTGTTCAATGATGTTTTGATTTTTCTTAAAGTATTTGTTTAACCAGTACATGTATGAGTGGTGTATTTATCCGTAGCAGGTCCATTTTTTTTCAGTGTATCATTAAACTCGCTGTATGAGTGTCGAGTGTATGAGTCTTTCATCATTTCATAAATAATTAATATTAATGCAATAATGATGTATATTTTGATTTTTGTCAGTTAATAAAAATACTTTATATTAAATGACATAACAACGTATATCATATGTTTGAAAGAAAAGTCTTAATTATTGCATATTGAATGAAAAGTAGTCAATGTACGGTAAAGTTTAAAAACAAAGTCCTTTAAAAAATGTTCGGAAAAGTTCGGTCATTTGATATAATACAAGACTGCTAGTGTCTTTTTCTTGCAAAAAGATTAGCACATTGCCCTCTCTGAAATATCTTTTGTATGTGTATGTAAAATACGTGCGGAAGAGACTATGTTATAACTTAGCTTAAACGAAAATATTCAAGTTCTGGCCTTGTTATAAGCTATATTATAGAAAGTAATGACTGTGAAATTTAAAGATTGTAACGTTTGCAGGCTTTATTTAGAGACTACTTGTAACTTATCTTAGCCACACTAAACATCTAGACCTGTCTGACATGATCACGTCATTTCACTGACAGCATACAAATGTCACCCTTTATGTTTAATTATCCTAAGTGACAAGAAACATTGGATATGTAATGTGAGGAAGGAGTAAATGATAACTTTATTCGTGTACTTCGAAGATCAAGTTTTATTACACACATTAAAACATGACAAATTAATACAATTATTGAATAGGGATACACTTCTCTTGAACAAGTATTATATATTAAATTAAAAGTAGAATATAAATAGATAGGAAGAGATGTATTCTTTTTATATATTGATGAGAATCGTCTTAGAAAATGAATATCGGATACGAATTAAATAGAAATGTTTTCTATTTCGCATAAACACATTCCAATTAAGAAATGTAACATAATTACATTTTTTTTTTTCAAATAAATAATTATAACTGGTACTAATGGTTAGTTTAATGCGGCATTCAGTTTTTCTAAAGATTAGATATGTAATTTTTAGAAAAATCGGTTCAATTAATTGTCAAATCAAAATAATTGAATATGGGAAATGAAATTTACAGAAGACCAAAAATATTAACTATAAGGAAGCCCCTCGATACCTCTGATTTACCTATCCGCTCTCTATTTTTAAATTCGTTTCTCGATATTCTATTTTAAGAATCACTTACACGTTTTAAAAATACTCGAGGGACGCACTTTTTCAAGATAAAATTGCTAAAATACACATAGTTCATGTTTTTCCAACAGAAACATTAAAACTGAATGCCGCTTTAAGTTTATTTCATAATAAATTTCAAAAAACATATATCAATCAGAACACTTGTCGAATAGTAAAGAAATGAGCCTTACGCAAAATGAACCACATATTGACATTAGATAAATCAAAGCACAGAAGGCGCTGAATTTTTTGGGTCTCAGAATGTCAGAAAGGTGAAGGTTGTGAGATTATAAAACAATTTGTTTTTGTATAGTGCCACCAATGCTTTCCAGTGTTAATTGTAGTAGATTGGCTATAAGTCTAATTGCAACACTGATATTCGATCAAATGTTTATTTGAATCAAACAATTTGAGAAAAAAAATGAGTTGCCGAAATTGGGATTTGAACTCCAGACCTCTCGCTTCCTAAGCAAGCGCGCAAACCCCTCGGCCACGGTGAATTTATATGTAACGGCCTGAAGAAAACCATACTATTCTATTTAGGGTTTGTAACGACGCTAACTGTTGTTTAACACTTTTGTAAATACTATAAGCATGTATATTATTAGAAATCTTCAACCATTCGGGAATTATTTTGCTTGAAAATTAATCCGCCTGTCATGTGACCATATTTACGCAGTGATCTTCCCTAAATGTTTCGGCCTAAGTGTTACATATAAAGGGAAGTAACCGCTTAAAAAAAGCGAGCGGACTACTTTCGGCACTTGCAATTAACAGCATTAGAGTCTGAAATTTCGCTACCATTATTTGTTTGGTCTGACGACCCAAACAAATAAAAATAACAGATATTAATAATATATCAAGTATGTGCCGAAAATATATTTATGGAAAGAAATGCATCAAAGCTAGTATTAAAATCGAACAAAAAGTAGCCGAAAATAAATTATAAGTAATAAATCAATAAATCAATCAATCAATAAAAATTACGATAGTTTTACATTTAGTAACAAAATAAAATAGGCTTGGTCTAGCAAATAGTCTCAAAACACTACATTTACACAAAAATAAATTAATTAAATGCTTTGTAGTAACAAAAAATTTATTAATAAAAAAAAGATAATTATAGAAAAATACTTAAAGGACAAAACAATAATTGTATACGTCAAAAGTAACTGACCTGAAAGAAATAACAAATATAATCGAATTTATGAAAGATAACAACAACAACAACAACAACAACAAAAATAACACTAAAAGATAAAAACATTAAAGAAAATAAAAGACAAAAATGTCCCCAGACTGCCAAAAAGAAAACTGTACAAGCTCAATTTTCCAACATTCTTTTAAACATGTAGGGACCATAAAAACAAGAACGGTTGTTAAAACAATTTTGATAATTATAATAGTGGTGTCCAAAAAGTTCTCAATAGGGTAGGGTGAAGAGAACATACATGTATTTACTGCACTAAAATTTCACATGAGTAAACAAATCAAAGTATCTGTACTCGAGATGCAAACTATGCTGCTAAAACTGATGTTACTAGCAAATTGACTAATCTAACGACTCAGTGTGAACAGCGATTTTCTTATGATATTTGCAATCAATTCTATATCGTTTGTACACTCGGAACTGTCTTCACACATCATGGGTAGTCTAAGTATTTTCACAGTAGTTCCAACCTAGATTAATCATAAATCATATAATCACGATTGTATTTACTTGAGACTGAAATTAGCATATATGATAATGTATGCAGAATTCTCCACACATGGTTAAAAACGACTATCATGTTAAAATCTTTACTGAAATCAAACCGAAAGGTTTGAATAATAATAATAATTATAATGATGAATATGATAATGAAAATAAGAATGATATTTTGAAGAAGGCTTTTTAAAAAAGTTCTAGATTAAAAAGGTGATATTCAATTTGTATTTACATTTACATTTCTATTATTTCTATTTTTTCGAAGCTTAATCAGAATGTCAGCGTCTGTCAATGTTTGAAGCACCAATGAATTTTCGTGAAGAAGATCAACAAACTTAACGACCTTGTATATGATACAGATGTACTGTTTTACTGTCAACCTCTTTTCTTGTTGAAGTAATGATAGGGAGCATAAATTGTTGTTATATATTCCATCTCCCAGAGCTACAAAAGGATGCATTAAAAGAAAGGTTCTTCCTATTGCTGAAATATAAGACTATAGACGGTTAAAAGTACATGCATGTATCTTAACAATAAAGACAAAAAGTGTCTAAAAAAATTATCCGGCAACCAGAGCAAAAGGTAAAATATCTTTTCTCAAGCATATAACATTTATAAGGTTATTTATTGTTACAGTTGTGAAAATAAGTAATTTATAATAATTGTTGCTCTTTACAGACAATTATAATGTTTGCAATGTAATTTCTCGAATAGTTTATATATATATTATCTAGGTGCTAGTTGAACATTATATCGAAGTTGGTGCATTCACTTCTTATGAAATTAGAGGTAAACATCTGCGGATGTTTCTACATTCAAAATTTCACCATTTTCGTGTTAAATGTTGAATTCTGCTTAAGCCGGTGCTAGGGGGCGTGTACGGTAACTTGCACTTTACAGTACCGTTCATGAACAGGCTAAATCAAACCAAGCCTGCAACATGTTCAATTTTGTTGCGTTGGACTTTCTTTAGGGTTTCTGAATTTCTCTATTTTACTAAAGAAAACACACAGTTGAACGAGCAATTAAATGTGCTCTTATTATCTATTTTTCTCTCTTTGTTCATTTGTTTTATTACATAACTTTGATCGAACACTATACATTTCATTCAGTTACACAATTTTAAAATTTAACAGAACAATAACTGTATTAATTTTACCTTTTGCGTTTTCCGAATTAATTTGCTCTTCTATATTCGGGTTGAAACACTGTGGAATGTAAAGTGATATATATTTATGATAAGTAAGAATCAAAATCTCTATTTCAGATCAAACCTTTCTCAATTTTATTGGCAAAATAGAGTATTGAATACTAAAAAAATATTGCATTTTGCTTACCGCATTTCCTAAAATTGCTGATAATGTGTACATGAATGGATTCAGGGCAGAGTTGATAGGTAAAACAAGTACGGCTGTCCAGGCATAAATTTCACCAGGTATAATGTAGTCATTCAAAGCAAGGATACCTAGTTAAATAACAATTCGGTCAGTAGATTTCTATAGAAAATATTTTTTTTTTTAATCAAAAATATCGTTCACAAACTGAAGGGCTTACATAACAAATTGCATTTATCCAAATCTGCAAATTAGTTTTAATATTTATTTTAGCAAAACTACATAATTTTACAAGACTTTTAGAGTGGTTGACCAATCCAAATGTGTATTTGTAAGACTTACTGTATAATTATATCACACTACTTACCCATTAATCCTATAGGAAACCAGCACAAAAAGTCCGTGGTCACTACAAGAAGTAAATTTCTTGCAACTTTTAAATCATATGATCTTGATACATTCATAGATTTCTTGACTGTTGTCGTTTTCTTTATTTCTGCATAAATCATCAACTGACCGACGGCAATAAGAACAAAGGTAACAAAATTTAGGCCAATGAAAATTACAATCGAATACAACCAACCGGAAGGTTTTTCACGTGTCAATGGCAATCCGAGGCAAACACCAGACTTGCTGTAGAAACTTCCTCTGAAGTAAGCAACATACGTCACAGGAAAAACAGCTAATACAAAAGAAACTATCCAGCCAGCTATGCAGGCGATCAGAGCTGATTTAGTGGTAAACCTAACTTGTCCGAAGGGATATTTGATAACAAGTATCCTATCCATGGTGATTAGACACATAAAAATGACGCTAGCCTCTGTAGAAATTGTTGATAATATTCCAGCAAATGTGCAAGTTCCACTGTTACGCCATTTTTCATCAATTTCGATATATCTATAAATGAAGATATCACTGTTGATTAACAGATTGGAAACTGCAATATTAAAATAAGTATTATTCTGCTGCATGCTTATGCACTTGTAGGGATGTAAAGACAATTACTAAAATATTTTTAAAATTTAATAAAAAAATCTCAAAAAATACTTAAAGGCTCTCTGGCTCTCCAACAGCCTTTACTTTAAAAATAAAATGTCTATTTAAGTAAAGTATTTCGTAATAAATTACCTATCTGCAAACCAATAATCAGCAATTGCGATAATCAACATGTATATACCCATGAACATATCAGCGACTGCAAGGTTGGTGACAAATATACCATATCCAAGTTTAAATCGTTTTCTATCACGTAAAACTCGATAAATTATGGACATAACATTTCCAGAAAATGCCAATATTCCTATAACCCACATCAGCACTCTTAGAACAGTTTTTCTCATAAGGTCTTCGCATGAAGAAAATTCATCTCTGTGCGGTAGACATTGATCTTCGCTAAGACCAACTGGTCGTACACAACAGTATTTGTATGCTGATGTCACAAGTTGTTTGACTCCTATTACTCCAGCGAAAACTCCTTTACCAAAGTCTTTTATTGGGTTGTTTAGTATATTAATATATTGACAGAAAAGTCCATTAAATGCATTGTCTTTGATGCGTTGAATTCTGCTATTTGATAGGTCAAGTCCAGTAAGATTTAATCCGTAAAATGTATTTTCCTCTAAAAGTTCCAGACTTGCTTGCTTTAAATCTAAGGAATCAATATTCAAACCATTGAAAGCACCGGGTGCAATTGTTCGTAGAAATTTATTTCCATGTATTTGTAACACTCTAAGGGACTTATATTTCGTTAATGTATTTGGCAATAATCTTACCAATGTATTATAACTCAAGTCAAGATTGACCAGATTAGGGAAGCTATGAAACTCGTGTTGATCTATTGATGCGATATTGCACATAGATACGTTGAATAAAACTACCATGTATTTATTATGATAACAATTATGTTCTTTTCCGAAAATGTATCTGCCCAAATACTTTGTATTACTTAAATCAAGTATCCGGGTAGACTGATCGACGTAGTGGTAATCATTAACATCAACTCCCGTGCAGTTTACAACACCTGTACTACATTGACATCCGCTGGGACACTGCATTTCACAGTTATCTTCGTCATCGTAGAAAGGACAATTTTTTACCTTATCACACACTTGTTCAAGAGGTATGCAAACACTGCTCATGCTACAACGATACATTCCTTTGCAGTCCAAAAAAGTACCTGTAAATTTGAATTGGATAACTTATTAGTAAATGCAATAGTGTTTTTCATTAAGAGTGCGTAATCGTTCCACAAAAAGTCATACGAATGCAATTATTATTGTCATTATTATAAAATCAAATCATTGAGGGTTTAAAGAACAACTCGTTGCAAGCCAATTAATATCATCCTTAACTGTTGTCAAGTAATGAATTTATAGAGAACTTTTAGCAATGTACGAGAATTGTTCGCGAAGTCCGTGTACAATTGGAATAATATTGTATTGAAAGCTTTTTTTTCTAATATCTTTTGTTTTAGATGTAGTGTCGACTAACTTAACATATGATAAACAAGATCAATAAGAAAGGCGGCGATCAATAAACCGATCACCACAGCTTTTATTCGATTTCATGTTAGCACAAGTTTTGTCCATAGTAACTCGGGTAACGCCGGCCGGGACAACCATTTATTTGAGAAAATAACTCTTTTTGAAAAAACGTCTTGACGTCATTTCCGTAACATATCACTACTTTTATGCTTCCGGTTGCAAAAATGTCATCAAATTCGTTAAAAACAACAGAGTGATATCCGGCATCAGTGAAAACGTCACTGATATTATGCGCGGCATTGGTAACACACAAAAGCAGGCATGGGAAGGTAGAAACTGGCTTAAAACGTTAGATTATTATCTAACATGCTAATAAGTGGCACGATCGGTTCCGGCTTGGTTTGACTTCAACTTCAATAGAGCCTAAGACTGGCCGACTGGGAGTTGTTATACCGAAACATGTGGAAAGAGTTCGAGCTCTTACTGTGAGGGCGATTGTTGGGAAACTTGTTGTTTGCTGTCTGTCATGTCTTACTTGTTTAAAAAAATGATTAAGATGTCTAAATTCAGCTCAAGATGGGTGCCGATATTACTATCGGATCTTGACGAGGCATGTTCTGTTGAGTGTCCTGGACCGTTTTTGAGAAAGTGCTACGTTTTAAGATGGCATTGTTACGCTTGATGAAACTTGCGTCGTGGCACAATGATCCTAAATCAAAAGTCCAGTCATCCACGTGAAAGACCCCAGAGACACCACCCCCTAGGCTAAAGTAAATATTCCTATTCTTGACTAATAGAAATAGCATGATTCCGCAACGCCAGATTCCGGACGGGCAAACCATGGACGCCTAGTATTATTCAAAGTTATAGTTTTACATTATCATTGTTGAAATATGTTGATAAAATGTTAAAATATCATTAAAATATTACAAAAGGATATCACACAACGATCTATTGACAAATCATAATAATTGCAAAAAAATCTGTATGCTTGCATTTGCGTATTTAAGGTTCTGAGGAGCGATCTCGCACGTGCATTAAGAAAGAAACGTCCCGATTTACCATTCGAGAGTAATACTGCATCACGATAACGCTCCGTTCCATACGGCAATAATTGAAATCGACTTTCTTGGCTTTGAATTGTTACCACACGCACGAGGAATTCGTTTCCAGACCAGTGAAGAGCTGAAACTGGTTACGAAGAACATTATTGCAACGTTTGACCAAAATGGTGTTCAAAAACCTTTCAGAAACGGATCCACCGGCATCAGAGGTACGTACGCGAAGGTGATGACTACATAGAAAAAAAATGGAATTTTGAAGCTGTGCGCGACTTATCTGTCCCGGTTGTACTTACATGCATTGTGTTTTCTGTAATTTATCGTATTTCTATGTTTTGTAAAATGCATGTTTAGTAAGTATACCACTGGATTTGTAATGAAATAAATTTTCTATCGATGCATTATTTATCTCAATCTAGTTTATTTATTTCTAAATTCAACTTTTTACACGATCTTGCCCCGTACTTCACTTCAGTGTTGTTATATTTTTCTGGTCCTTCGGGATCATTGATGCCGGCACTACTAAGTGTTGAGGATTGAGTACCGCTCAAGCCGGTGCTAGGGGGCGTGAAGGATGTTGCACTTTACATTATCCCTCATGTACAGACTCAATCAAACCGAGTCTGCAGTTATCTTGTAATTTTGTTGTGATTAATGCTTCCGAGGGATCACTTTGTTTCCAGATTTTTTTACTTCACAACAGCAGGTGTCAAGTGCTGTGTGGCAGCTGTAAAAAGTTGCCCCGTACTTCATTTCGGTGTTGTTATATTTGTCTGGTCCTTCGGGATTATTGATTCCGGCACTATTTAGTGTTGAGAATTGAGTACCGCTCAAGCCGATGCTAGGGGACGTGAGGGATGGTGCACTTTACATTATCCCTCATGTACAGACTCAATCAAACCAAGTCTGCAGTTCTCTTGTAATTCTGTTGTGATTAGTGCTTCCGAGGGATCACAATGTTTCCAGATTATTTTTTTTGCAAAAAATCGTATAACCGATACATCTAAAGGCGAAACAAATGACTTTTGTCAGTAAAACATTCGTCCGACCTCATGGTTACAGTAGGCATCTGTATTACGTGCAGAGATGAAATATTCCAAACACAGACTGAACTAAAACAGTTTCATCCCATTAAAAATATTTATTCCACTTGTGCCATACACAAGATATTTTTCATTTATTATCTAACATGAACAGTGCAATTAGTTTTATTTAAAAAAATGTTTTAAACGCAAAGTCTTATCTTACTTATTTACACTAGTGTTGTTCAGTTGATAATGTTGTACGCCAGCTGCTTTGCCATTCAAGAAAAAATAATTATCTAGTTCACAAATTTATCATCCCCCAACGTTTAAAATTATGTCCATTTTGATTTAAATAAATGTTGATAGTTACGTACAAAAACGGTTTTTAATCAAAAACCTTTAAATTACATGTTGTCAAAGCGATTAAGTGATTCATACATATACAGACAATATCAGTTTAAAAATAAAGAACAACTGATAGTTCTGCTATATTGTTATTTGCTCTTACGTGTACCTCTTGAACCTTCTATAAATTTACAAGTGTCAGTATATTAATTAATAAAGATTCCTTTTAAAAGGAAAGGCTTGCTCAGTGTGTCATCATCCCTTCCCTTTAAAATTGTGGGTTTTTTTTTTTTTTTTTTTCAATTTATTATCACATTTTTTTTTTTGAATTACGGTATTTGTATAATTATCATGAAAGGTTTAGGCCTACATAGTTTTTTCTCGAAAGAAAAGTTTCACTCTTAAAGGGATAGGTAGTGTAACCATTTGTTTGAGCACCAGTGGTTATGCGTGCAAATATATGGACCAAATAGGGACCAGAAGTCCACTGTTTATAACTGAACGGGAACATGCTGACGATAACAGTTGCAACTTTTTTGTAAAAATCAATATTTTTTTGTCAAAAACGATTCGAAATATATTCTCTATTAAAATAATCAATCGTAAAACTACTAACATTGGCTCTCACGTGGAGATCAATCTATCGTACTGAAGGACATTTCAATCCACTTTTTTCGCAGAGAGAGTCATTCGTTTTGGCAGTTGCTAATTTCATTTCTATAGCAGCTTTAGAGACAAGTGAATGTACTAAAAGACTTCGTTACGTGGTACTAATTAATAAGCATGTATCAACTATCTTACACCTAAAATATATATGGACAGGAGTTCAGCACGTGGTAACGTTAATGATATGCATGGGCTATTTTTAGATTACCTCACCAGGACGTTTAAACTATATTCAGTAGATCTAAATATAACTTGACCATGCACTAATATTCTGCGTGATTCGGTCACGATATTTTGGTAAGCAGGACCGCCCTTTTGAGACGGAATAATACTACACTCTACAGTAACCATTCTCTATTGTATAACACTAATAAAGACAAAAACAAATTATAAAAGAAACTAACTTTTGCGTCTTGAAAAAGAATTTAAACGGAATCAAGTAAAAATAGAAAAACAAACTGGGATTTCCAAAGTAACTAAAATAGCTTAGATTTCCGTAATATCACTTCGTCTTATTCCGCAGTATGACGGAATCGCCCGAATTGTCAAGATTGCAATCGGAACAACCTCGGCTATAATAATTAATTTCGAAGAGTGACGGAAAGGGCCGAAAAGTTGCGATTGGTACGATTGCAGCTGGTTTCCCGTTCAAACATGCACTAACAAATGTAAGCCAAAAACCTTACCTTTACATATTTCTGGAAATAATGTTGATCCTAATTTACGAAGCAGGTCGTATTTCTGTATCACAACACTAGAGTAATTTTGTGTCTGTGCTAATTTGAATCTTGTTTTCATGTTTTTGTCTATTTGCACAAAATATTTGTGAAATTTTCCAACTGAAAAATCATGCTGTTTGTAAAAACTAAAAGGGATATCAACTCCGTCAGATATCCAAATGATTACATTTATTTTTTCTGAGTTGACATGAAAGAACTGGCTGATGTCAAATGTTAGTTGATCTTTAAATGATCTTGTTGTTGGAAAGTTACTTCTTGAATTCACGTCGAAAGTGTAAACAACGGGATGTAACTCGTTAAAGATGTCAAATTCACTAGGTAACAAATTTATGACGGGAAATATTTTGACTGTACTATTTTTCGTATAAAGCATTCCCCCTAAGAGAGCCTGTACGTCAATCAACTCAAAATTAAATCTTTTAAGAGACTGTTCATATATTATTGCTATGTTTCTGTTGTCTGTATTACTGCAACCTGTAAATTATAACATTTTATTTAAATTAAGTATGAAATTTTATACCCGAATCGGTATTACCTTAGTTTATTATATGCAATGAAGGTTATTAACTCATAATACATCACCTCCACTTTGAAGATTGCCAAGATGAGATGAGTTATTTTTATATTGGTACATTATCTAAGCGATTCTTTTTAGAACGAAAAATATATCCGGTTTGAGTCACATAATTATAAGATATATTAATGGCTATATATTGCTAAATTTTATAACAAAAATGTAGACTACTTACAAATTTGATAAAATCATAACAACATGGCAAAATAATAATATACTGTATAGCAATTTAACCAGTAAATTTGTAAAATTGTTTCAAACATCTTCTTAATAAGTAGGCTTAAGCGTTATTGTGATTAAAGCACTTTCAGGCTAGTGTTTTAATGGTTGAAGTAGGGTATATCTATACACGTTTCAAACATTTTTAATAGAAACTATCAAAGACATTTTATTTGTACTTATACGGTAAGCTGGATATCAATATATATTTTTAACAATAATAAATAGGGTAATATTTAAGGTTATTTAGAGGTTCCTTATTTCTTAAAACAGCCCTTCATTTTATACAAGTTTTCTTGTCGTTCGAGTGAGTGTCGATTCTTTCAAAACCGTACGGTAAATTTTGTTAACATTTTGCATAAGGAATTCAAAAGTTACTGTGTTCTGATGTAATTTTTCCAGTTCTGTGTAGTGCCAGATAGGGTTAACTACCTCAAATGCGTTTGCGAAAAAAACTCAAATTTCCATAAATAAAGTTTCAGAAATATTTATGTGAGTTATAGAGACCACACATAACTTTAGCGTTTTCTCAAAATTCGTAGAAGTACAAAAGTCATTCTACTTGAATTTAATGAAAACAATCTTATAACTTAAAAAAAAGCTTTCACATCGTGTCCACTTTTTTGTAACAAATAAATTTATGCGATAAACAGTTACATAAAATGCTCATGAAGCAGAATATATGATAATGATTAACAAGGATACATGTAAGAAAGTTTAAAACTATATTATATTCCAGTTTTCTTTACCACAATGTTCTTCATCTGCTCCATTACCACAATCGTATATTCCATTACACACATACATATACGGCACACAATAACTGTTTGGACATTTGAAATAATATCTAGGGCAGGTGAAGTTGCCTGAAGGAGAGATATTGAAAATCATATACAGATTCGTAACCCTGAAATAAATTAAAGGAATGCTGTGTATGAGCACATTTGTCTCTTAGCACATTTGTCTCACGAGGTGTGACCGATGTGCTCGTAAACAATTATATTTGCGATAAATTGGAAAAGAGACGGATGTGTTCGACACATAATAGAAAGGACTCTCGAAGCCCATTTGTCTCTCATTCTTCCATAAAATTCTACTTAAAAAGAAAACTGTGCCTGCTTAGTAAATTGTAATTGTCCGAAAAGGCGGATATAAAAATTATTCTGGGCTTTCTGTATTTTCTGTAATACCATTTTTATGCTACTTCCGGTCAATCAAAAATTTCCTGCCTCTGCATTGGAGTCATATATTAACTTAAAGAATATCCCTGCTCTACATGTCACAGTGAAAGTTATATGCAGCAAGTCCATTCTAATCGTTATTAACTGTTACACGTTTCTTTCCGATACTTAAAGTCTTATAAATGATTTAAGATATATTCTAAGCAACAGCAAGGAGTATATACGGTGACACATTAGGACATATGATTTTCTTATTTATAACGAGTCCACGCGATGGCTATAATATGGCTGCGTGATACTACTACATACGCACGCGATAGCTATTACGTTTTAAAGGGGTAGTTATTGAGTGCGCTCGCGATAACTATTACCTGCGCACACGGATAAGTATTCCGCATTTGGACCCTGGACGGGCTTCCTCGCATGTATAGTTCGACGCCCCGAGTGAGTGGCGAACCTAAAGCGGTTGTTTTTTTTTAAAAAATTACTCGGCCATGAAGGCTCCTAAATGATCTAAGGAAGAAAATCAGAAGACCATTCAACACGTATTTTTTTGTTCATCAGAATGTATATATAAAAATATCGTCATTTTCCGAGAATTGCTGCTTTCAGATCCGCCATTGAAAAAGCACTTACAACGTGCATGAGTTCCAAAATGAATCCGGATAATGTCATAATTATGATATCGAGCCTCGCAGAATCGGACGAGACGCAGCATTCCGCCGAGACACGAAGCGAGGCACGATATTGTAACAGGTGATCTCGCATTGCCGAAGTATCCCGTACCATGAGATTTCACGGTAGAATATCGTACCCAAATTTCATGTTGTGCCGTAATTTCGCTTTTCGAGTATCTCGGTAGGTAATAGACGTCTAAATTGAATCCGTCTTCTGTTTAAATTTTATTATGGATGTGTTTATGACCTTTTGGTAGAAAAAAATGCAGACAAAGGTTGTATTTGATAAAATGAATTTCTCAATTTTAGTATTGGTGGTTGTTTCACGTCACAGCAGTGTGATTTCAGTGATTTTACAAAGAAAATAAAGGGAATACTATATAGAAGTATATGGCCTTAAATGATTTTCTTGTCTCGCGTCAACGTACGAGACGCGAAATAAGACGCAAGATTCCGGCGAGATGAGAAACAAGTCACGATATTGTATCGTTCAAATATCGCCTGATTACGGTGTTGATGATGCGATGATGAAAACACGATGGCACGATCATGAAACAACGATCGCACGATGTTGAAATCACGATGATGACACAATGGTAATAATAATAAGAAGTTTTTATCATCATGTCATCGCAGTTTCATTATCGTACCATCGTATTTCCAGCATCGTAATAGCATGTCTTCACCATCGTAACATCACGTTTCCATCGTCGTGCATTCGTTGTTTCATTATTGTACCATCGCGTTTTTTCATCATCGTACCATCGGATTCCGTATGTTTTAGTGTACGCCTTCAGGTCAATCAAATAAAACTTCTTGAATTAGAGGTATTAGAATTAATAGTTCTGCTGAATTTTTTAGGTTTGAAATTTCATTTAAAGCATTAGCAAACCTATTGATGATTATTATGCTTGAGATAAAACGGCGAACCTAAAACAATTCTGACGTGGGAAAATACGTGACAATTAATTCATTAAAAAAATGACGTGAGACAAATGTGCTTTCTTGTCCCTTAAAAAGCAAGAGACACATGTGCTTTCTTGTCCCTTAAAAAAACTTGATCGGAGCACATTCGTCACACAAATGAGTTTTTTTCGGGTAGGCACTTGTGGTCCCATTTGTCTCATGTGGGACAAATGCGACCGCATCGGTCTTACGTTAGACAAATACGTTCCGAGACAAATGTGCTCATGCAATGCTGCGTAACATCATAATACATGTGTGTAAATAACGTTTACCAAACTTTTTATATAAACGATGCACATTCTTACATATTTTTGAATTAAATCGAACAGAAAATCAAATTGATGTGATAATTTTTCTACTTTTTGGAAATAAGATGTTCATAAACGATATACCATGAAAAGTTCCATATGAATTGATATATACGTTTTATTGAATTTATCCTGACTGGTTACATTTTGAAAATCAGTCTTAAAACCTGCAGTTAAAACTTGGAACTTGGGCTGATTCATTAAACAATTATTGATATTTTTTATCAATTCACATACCACAATTGAGAAGATGGCTGAATGATCGACAACCGATTATTGTCCCTTTATCGTCTCTTCTGTAAAGGCATTTTATTGATGCATCAACTGTATCAACATGACTTTGGCAGAAAATCCTTGCGGTAGGATAAATACCCGCTAAAATGTCAGATATATAGAACTTTATCCATTCAATTAATTGTTAAGACAAATGAACAGTTATTAAATTGCTTTGGTAAGTATCTCCAACTTCTATAATAATGGTTTAGTTTTTTTACAGTTTCAATTAACCTTTTGTGTATGATGACTACAATAATTTCCAAATAAGTTTTAACGATAACATATATTTGTTCCACTTAGTATTAAATATTGATACCTTTCTTACACACAGCTTGACCAATTTGGAACCTGTTGCGTTTATTCTTCACACTATCCGTCGTCTGCATGATAAACGATCCATCTTTGACCATTTGCATCCTGACGAAGGATCCGTTGACAGGTCTAAATAATTATTTATGAATGCAGCTATTTTGTTCACAAAAATACGGTCAGAAATAAAATTAAGATTTGTGTCATTATTTTTAATGGGTGCAAACGTGTATTCAATTATACTTCTAATCGTAAACGTTTTTGGTTTCTATCTTTATTCATTACCTACAACTTCTAAACTGCTTACATGATAAAGGATTACGAACTACAAATCCAACAATTTGACATTGAGAGGAAGAGATGGCTAATGCTATCCTACATTTAATTTAGGTTGCAATTAAACATTTTATACAAAATTATTACCAAATTTCACATGAGCAGCTTAGTAATATAATCATATGTGTGTGTATTAAGAAACACTCTGTCAGAATTGATGTTCACTGTATATTACAATTTGTTATTTTTGCACATTTGGTCTATTCAAAAAGTACTTATTTTCAAATCTATTTCTCAGATAATAGCATTTGCAACGACATTAAAGTAATGTACGGATTTATTTTCTGACTTTTGGCAATTATAACATTGTCTATTCTTTCAAGGGATTGCTTCAAGTTTATGGCCATCTACCAGTTTATACCCATATTTTTTGTGAACAATTCAATGTTTGTAAACCAAAATTGCATATACTAGTACTACATTACTTTGTGGTCTATTTGAGTTCATAATTGTCTGAATTATAATATTAAATACCAACGGAATAAGCCTATACAATTTCAAATTTTCAAAGTGTTTGTCGTGGTTTTTATCAGTGTCCGTATTTAAAATCAGCATGCTGAAACAAATTTGGCAATCTGTGATTGATTTGAATTATTCTTATCTTGTCATCATTTTATTAGATTTATAAAGATCTTGTTTTTTTAAACAATCTTGAAATAATACATACTTTTTTCCTACAGCGTCAGAAGAGCTATTTTGTGAGGGAAGCTCATATTCAAACACATTTATATGGTATGTCAAATTTTCAAGCTCAGCTACTCTGATTTCTTCACGGTGTGGGAGCTCCATTATCTTAATGGTTTACAAACAATAAGTACTCAAAACATATATTAAATTATCACTTTATATATTAATATTGTGAACAGTAAAAATGAAAAAGATGAACTTTTATAAAAAATAAATGCAAGAAACATAAAAAACGTATACGAAGGATGATCCAGAAATACCCGGAATTAAGCCATAAATTTAAATGTTCCTAAAATATTATAAAACGACGTTTAAACAACAACAACACGTACATTTTTTCAAAGAAACAACACCTTCACCAGGATAATAATTATAATGACGTAATAATTATAGCGTAACATACGTTGTCGGAAAATGACGTTGCGTTAATCTTGTAACATACATGCACAGATAAAATAACGTAACATACGTGCAAATATAAAATAATGCAGCATACATGCAAATAACAAATGCATATTAACCAATGTAACATACATGTACTTATAAAAGAATGCAACATACATGTTAAAAAAAAAACAATGTGACATACATGTACATCTGAAATAATTTAACATGCATGCTCACATAAAAAAACGTAACATACATGTACATATAAAATAACGCAACATGCATGAACATATAAAACAATGCAACATACATGTACATATAAAACAATGTATCATTCATGTACATACAAGATAACGTAACATACATGTACATATAAAATAATGTCAACACGTAATCGGATTAAAGTAATACAAATATTTCCTATAGCAAATATATTAAAAAATAGGTAAAAAACGAAATTCAATACGTGTCTAGCATGGTATTTAACTGTCAAGATAAAAAGTACACACATTTTATGCAGATCAATTTAAAATATAACCATAGTATTTAAACCATATAAGTTAAGTGTTTTTAAAGTATGGATCCAGTATGTTTCTTTACACAAACGGTCCAACAATATCTATAGGCATGAAAAAAAGTCATTTAAGTTATGATCTTCCGAATTAAAATGGATAGCTACACTGGTAGAAAAAATCATTGTCAACAAAGTTATTTATATCGAACCTATGGCTATTCATGCGTTTAGAAACAGGCTGCATAGCTGGACCCACATATTGAATGTGACATTTTTTTACAAGAAATTGGGTGAATGACGTTACTAGTTTTACAGTCAATATTTTCATGTAGACTATAAGTATTACCTGTAATATGACAACTAAATGAAGAGCCAACTATACTATCTTACCGTGAGAACATCTGCGTCTACTACAATTTGTAGACGAGTAAGTTGAATTCAGATTGCTGCTAAACTCAGCGCTGGATAAAGTGTCCTGAATATTTTTAGCTCTCTTCAAAGCATATATAGGCTTAAAATGTTTATAGACATACTATACATATGTATTCTTAGATAATTTAAGCCGATCCCAATATTATTCTATAATTTTACCTATAATTGGCAGTGACACATTGTACGTTAATGCAATTGGAATAATATTATCATTGTTCTTTGACGGAAATGGGGTAAGCGCTTCTCCTTGTAATAACTGTAAAGCTTTCTTGAATGCTTAATCTATCATGACGACGGGTAATCTCTGTCTCCAAAAAACACACGCAAGTCCGATATTGAATTTTCAAACCTTTCATCACTTGAAATAATCCGGCAGTATCGTTTTGCTTGGCTATATTGGATGCCATCTTAGCAAGTTTCGGGGTGGCACGACGAGTAATGTAAGTACTGACGGTTGTTTGTTTCCTTTACGAATATATCAGTTTGCAAAGTACAAGGAAGAGCTCATTTTCACATCTTAAGATTCTACAGATTCCGGCGATACTGTATTTGTAAAATTTATGTTAGGATGGAAGTTGTTGATATCACTTAGACAATTATCTAGTTCTTCTCTGGAGCCGTCCCATATCATTAAAATATCATCCAGGAACCTAAGCCAAACGGAAGGTTAAATATCATGTGACTTAAAAATCTTGTTCTAGTTTCCCCCATAAATAATGATGCGAATTTTGTCCAGATCAATTTTTGCATTAATCACTTTCAATTGGTGTTTTATAAATGTCATCGGCCGTCGCTTTCTGTAAGCTGCGCCGCTGTAGCGTTTCTATGGTTATTTAAGGCGACCTGAGAAAGTACTGGATGTCAATAAATCAATAATAGTTTGTAATTGCAGAGAAACATCAAAGTTTGCGCAGGTATATTCTTAATGAAGAAAACATGAAATTTGTTAGTATTATAAACAAAGTCCGGGTAATTCTGCATCATCACTTGTATAAACATATCTAATACATTATGTTATACTACAATATAATATATATAACATACATTAAAAATATATAGAATCAAATTTAAACATGCTGATGATTTCTTATATTGTTTTTTAGCAAAACTTCAAAGTCCAGTCTGAAGAATATTTCTGAGATCGATAACATATGCATAAAAAGATAAGCAAACAGTTGTAAAATCATCGTTTTTCGTATTCGAAACATTTTGTCACATAAATATTACCAGAAACAAGTTTTCTGTTCAGTTGTTATTCGTACCGTTATGTTATACAAAAAGTAAGTGGTTATTAATAAGTAATCGGAACCGATATACATTTATGTTAGAAACAAAACAAAAATGAAGATGTTAAGAGGAACTCTTAGGAAAAAGCTTTTGGTTGCTCACATTTTCACGTTAATGACACCAATGGAAAAGGTTTATGTAAAAAAGAACAGTTGCGATAAAATGATAATGAACGCATAGAAAAATTTGTCATTTATTATCAATCTATTTAAATGAATAATGTGTTTTGTACTGAACACGCATTTTTATTGCTACATTATCAGGCAAATCTTCAAGTTATCATATATCAGGTACAAATTACTAGCATACGTACCTTTTGCATGCACTTATATCCAGCAGTAAGCGCTTCTTCTACTCCAGGGTTTGTTATTTCATATTCAGTATCTGATATTTTCTTCCAGTCCGTGTTTGAGTACGTCGTTATTATTGTATTGTTTATATGTACGTAATTGAAGTCACAGTATACGGACACTTTATGTTCTGTAGAAAGATAACATGTTGAGATAGGACTTTACAAGCTCTATAATTGTACGATGTGTAACATATATAACGAGATATATTTGGCATAAATTATATACATCTAATTATCTTATTATCAAAACATGTCACAGTATACGGACACTTTATGCGATGTAGAAAGATAACATGTTGAGATAGGACTTTACAAGCTCTATTGCACGATGTATAACATAATGTAATTAGATGTATATAATTTATGCCAAATATATCTCGATATATATTATATAACGAGATATATTTGGCATAAATTATATACATCTAATTATCTGATTATCAAAACATGTCAATCATAGTATAATTTTATTAACCTGTCAGTTATGAATATATTATGGCACATATTTTAATTACTCGTTTCCACTTCGGTTCTGTCCGTATCATTTACGAGAATTAATATGGAGTATATGTCTAATGTTTTTAGAAAAGTCACATTATCTTAATGTTTATGTTCTCGTCATATCCGCAATAGCACAATCGGTTGAGTTATTACCTTATATATGAGTGTCTGTGGTCCGATCACACTTTTGTCATTGTTTTATGACCTATTCTTCCTTTATTTTCAAGTATGTTTAAATGAATAGGGCTTGCAAAATTGTCTACACTGTTATGGAATAACTAAGAAACACAGATTTGTCCTTTTTGTACTGAATTTTACGCATTGAAATTACATTTATTAATTTCAATATTAATTCCTAAACCATATTATTTAAAAAATGAGTATGGTCTTTACCAAAATAAGTGCAAAACATATTAAAAACAAAAAAGAATAAATAAAAAAGAACAAATCATATCTTCAAACATGTTGAAAACATAAATAAGAAAAAACATACATATACGCGGGCTCGATCTATCATCACGTGCACTTGACATTTAAGAGTTATAAACAGGTAGTTTTGCACTATAAAGATCAGTATAACTATTTCAAAGAAACTAATTAAATGTAGTCACATCATAACGGAGATTATCTAACATTTATCGAATATTGATACATGTATATTATGTGCATTGACCGTATAATCAGTATGCAATTGACAGGTTAATAAAATCAAACAATACAAGTATAAGAAGGGAAAGTCACGAAATTATGCCTTTTGTA